TGGCTCTAGTCTTAGTGTGCGGGTAAGAATACCACAAAGTTAAGTTAGGCATCATATCATTTTTCCCCTCTTCGTGAAGCTCGGTGTAAGGGCAAGAATACTGTAAGGATGAGTTAGGTGAAAGTACCCATTCTCCCTTTAATTTGCTAATGGAATGTATTGAGGTGTTATTTGTATATTGGATATTGTGACGAATATGATTGACGATTGATGATTATTGTGTCTATCTAGAAAGGATGAGATGATTTGTTGAGTGAATGATATATTCTTGATTTGAATGTTTTGTGTTGAGTTTGAAGGAGAATTACCTTCCATTGTCTCATTGCAAAAGTTTTGCATGTTAAGCTTGCATATGGTTATTATATTTTATAGATTTTGAGTTTTCAAATGCATTAAAGGCTATTGAAAGGATTTATATGATTATCATGTTGTTGTACATATTATGGTTTATTGCAAAACTCTTCCCTTTGGTTTGTCCCTTTTCCCATATCCACTCATAGAGCCTTTATGACTCACTCATTATTTTTCCTTATTTTGGTTTCAAATCAATAACTTGCTTGACTAAGCGACTTGTGGAGTAGTAGCCCAGCTCATCCATGGTAGCTGTGGTAGAGCTTTCCTTCCAGCCCTTCAGTGTCATTACACTTTGCAATGTGCCGAGTCGAGTCATTTAATCATTATGTTGATATTGAACTTGGTTATGTAAATGTTGATATACTTGATTACATTTTTGCACATTGTGTTGAGCCTCAAATACGGGTGCATGAGAATAATAAAACTATGGTGGGTGATCCATAACATTATAGGCAAGGGATGCGTATCGAACCACAATTTTTTTTAACATGTGAATATTTATATAAAATGTGATAAAAACCACACCTTATATTGAGAATTTTCGTAATGTGGTGGTCTTGATGAATTAATTGTATATTCATAATTGTTGTTGAATTAATATGTGAATGGATGGATGACTAGCCCATGCACTATTGATTTAGGCTTGCTTGGACCTAACAGGTCATACCACGTAGGTCGATACGCCTGTCATGATCCCTTTAGAAAATAGGATGTGACAACTCTACATATAGAGTTTTAACAATTCCTTTAAAGCAAAATAGAATTTCTTAGTAGAGGCAAATAGACTTTCACTCCTAACTCTCTCTTTCGTATTATCTCTCAAATTCCCTTATATTTAGCACTTTTTCTATCTTATTCTCAACTTTACTTTGCCACTTGTCCATTCTCTCTCACTTACAATAACAATCAATACTTTAAAGACTATTCTAATCTTCCTCCCAATCACCTAGAACACATTTTTTTACTTATTTGAAATACTTTCTTTGTTCTTATTAGGAGAACCCCTCTACACTTCTAAAACTTACTTTCAACAAAATCATGACGTAGGTAGTATACTAATTAGGATGGAGAGTGCAGCATCCGATCAACACCCACCGAAGGGGGAAGTGAGAAAAGAGACAAGCTTTGTAAAGTACCCTCTGCTTGTAAATAAAGATGGGTCCCGCTGCGCTGCCTTGCAAAAGGAATATATTCATTTTAAAGAATAAATTCTCTAAGCACGAAAAGATGCTTGAAATTCAAGCAAACATGGCCTTAATACTAAGCCACCCAACTTTTCCGCTAGGCCTCGGTTTTGAAACATAATGAACTAAAAGTTAAGCTCTAACTTTGCTTCATTATATTATAAAGGGACAGCTATGGTACCATACCAGTCTAAAGAAGAATCTGCAAATCTAATTGAAATTCCTCCTTTTCTTATATATGGATAGAGAGGTGCCAAAATATAAAAGCAATAACAAATTATAATAAATAAGTAAAAGGGTGGTGGAGGAACGGCTTGAAGGGGGGTTAATTTGCAATACTAGATCCGCATCATTTGGATATTAATATAGTATGGTCTCAAAGTAGCTTGAAACTATATCCACTTGGCATCCATCCATTGGGTTTGACGTGAAATTTTATATGAATGGATTTTAGTAGTGAAAATCTGTTGATGTAGGTAGTGTACAATTAGTTATATATGTACATCTCTCTGTCTCAAAGAGTTGGTTTGAATTGGTTTTCTGCCCAAATAAAACTTTGTGGATGCAGGATGAGTTCATCTTGAAGGTGTGATCGTTTAAAATAATGCGACAAATGAGGTCCAAATTTGAAAAACCAAAGTTGAGACGAAATAGTAGCACGAACAGATGTAAGATTGGCATAACTTCATTGAGGATGTAGAATTTATTTTGGCTTAAGAATCTTTCTTTGATTGTCAAAGAAGAAAGCATTTATTCCCACTTGGATTTGGGTAACTACCATGCATTTATCCTTTAGATTTTTCATCATCTCTCCCACCGCATTTGACATCTTTGCATGGGCTTTACATACGGGGGAGCTTTTTATAATATTGTTCTTACTCATCTTGATTTACTACCCCTTTTACAAGGGGTGGGGTCCATGTGTCCATTTGTTGGGTTTGACCCCCAATGGCTCTGGCTTTGGCTTTGGCTTTGGCTTTGGCAATAGCACTCAACTAGTGTATTTTGTTTTATTTGACAATCTTCAGTTCCACAAAAGCGATGTGTGAGAGGGCGGGTGAGGCCCATGGGGCTTTAGAAGAGGAGGGGGACGGGTCCCCTACTTGCTGTCATCAAAAGCCCCATTCTTTATGCATTGATGTTCACGTCCTCACATTATACCAACCACACACCCTAAAGTTGTTGGTTCCATCTTATTTGCTTCTCCCTCTTTTGCTTTCTCATATCCATCCCTCTTCCTAATCCTCTTCGTTTCTTCAACACTGTTTTACTCTTTTTCTTTATATATCAAGGCATATTTATTTCAGACATAACATGCAATTGGGGAATCACTTCTCAATGTCGGTCATATGTCCCTTCACTCCAAGTCTTAATCCTATTCATTATGGAAAGTACAAAACAAATTTGCATGCATATATGCAAGACATGAAGTGTAATATAACATGTTTTATTGTATTTTTTTTTCTTTTGTCCAATGTTTTACTCTATTATGTACATTAATATAAAATGCCTAAATTTTAGTTCACCATCTTGAACTTCCCTAAAAAATTGTTGGCACAAAAAAAGAAAAAGAACTTCCCTAAAATTTAAAAATGCATCCGTATACCCCATTAGCTCACCATATTATTAGTTATTTGCATATATTTGAAACTTTTTGTTTTGAAATATCATTTCGTATCTGTAACAAGAGTTATTATTATTATTAAGTAATGATCATTTTTAATAATGTATCATATTCTGGTTTGTTAGGACATTATAATTGAGACGGCGGAAAGGATTTATATGATAATTTCTTCTCATCCATCTATTAGTCGATCTTCCTCGGAATCTAATTAAGATATAGAAAACTGATTGGTTTTTATTTATTGTTTCAATAAACAGTTTTGATTTGATTTCTAATTGCATATGTAATAAGTAAAAAGGAAAACAAAAATCTAAACTTAGCTCAATTTGGCACTTGGATGGGTAAAACAGGTTGGTTCACACTTTTCTTCCATATGGGAAGGAATTATCTTTTTCCTTTTGTACTAAGAACCAAGGTAGGTAGTCCAAGACTCCAAGTAGGTGCAAGAGATAGAGAGATGGGACTTCTAAAGTCAAATAGAATAATGCACATGATACACAAAAAGATGTTCCTCACACCAAAATTATAACTGCAGAGCACTGCTAAACAGGACAAGTGGATTAACAAAGATTTGAATCAACTGAAATGGATCACCCAAGTTAAACTATTGTTTGGGAAAACAAAAAGTTCATCAAGAGTCTAAGATCTAGCTTGTTACAGATTGATGTTACAATTCTAATAATTTGAATTACAACTGCTTTGTCAGTTCTTTGGATTTTTAAGCAAAAGGCAAAAGCAAAAGACAGAAACTAGATAAAGAGAGGGAAAAGAAAAAGAAATGATCAACTTTGATTAACAACTAATGAGACTAGCTATAGGTTAATTTCCTAGTAATAAATCCTGCATGGCAAACTTGGGCAAGGAATCCAATACCCAGCCAAGAATCTCTTAATCATAAAATTTTGGTGTCAATTGTATCATGACAACCTTTTTCTAGGTAATGACATAAAAGGATGTCTTCGTTTCCCAAACCATCCATCATGATCCATACAGATTGAGCACTTCATTATAACCTAAAAAGGGAGTTGTACTATAAAACCAAGATTAGTCATGTACATATATATATATGGATATACAGCATATACTAACAAGATAGTGAGATATTAATTTTTATATATATGTATAATTAATGAGAGAAGGGACGAGAATGGGCTGATGAAACAAGGGTAAAAGTGGAACATATTGGTCATCATGATTGCAAGAGGGGTCTAAGTCTCCGTCGTATTCTAATACTCAAAAAGCTTCACATGGTCTAGAAGAATAACTCCACAAAGATACACTCTTCTTTTGGTGATGACAAAAGATGGATTACTCTCAGTCTGAGACATAACAGATATGTACATTCTAACAATGCTTGTATAAAAGTTTCCATCTTTCTTTCCCACTCATCTTTTCTTTGTGAAATGTGGTTCAACAGCCAACATTTCTTTTGTAATTTGGCAGCTGTATCCCTCTGCGTATCTGTCATGTCAGCGTAATGTAATACTATTGTATTGTACGTACGCTGATGATGATATCAGTGGTTTTAGTTTAGAGTATCTTTTTCTTTCTTTGGTAAAGGAAGGGGGTGCATGTTATGTTAGAATAGGCGCGCTTTATTGTTTTCTTTGTTTTTGTATTAGAATTATATAACAGTAGCATATTTTTTTTTTCTTTTTATCAAGAGGAGACTTGTGGCTTAGTCTTTCTAGTTGAAGAACCACCCAGCCCAACCCTCTCTTCTCTTCTTCAAAAACGCACCCTATTCCTCCCTATTTGCATCGCATTTGTTCTTGAATCTCTTTGGGTATTCTCGCAGCCGCTTAGGGAGAGAGAGAGAGAGAGAGAAAGTTGTGAGAATGTTCCAACCCAAGAAGCCCTCAACTATGAATTCCCATGATAGAGCCATGTGTGTTCAAGGGGACTCTGGCCTCGTGCTCACCACAGACCCCAAGCCTCGCCTCCGCTGGACGGTCGAGCTTCATGAACGCTTTGTCGATGCTGTTACTCAGCTTGGAGGACCTGATAGTACCTTCTTTATCTATCCCTATTAGTTGCTTTAAACATTTCTCATATACATGCATGTTTTTGGAATCAATCTTCTTCATGTTGGCTGATCGATTTAATTGCTTAACTTTGACAGAGGCCACACCAAAAACAATCATGAGAGTTATGGGTGTGAAGGGTCTTACGCTTTACCATCTCAAGAGCCATCTCCAGGTTTGAATACAACAACAATATTTCATGCTTGCTTTAGCTTTTTCTTCCAGCTCTTTTGTGACCTTGTCCATGTAGGGTTGGCTTTGATTTGCCCCGCCCCCACTTTTTTTTTTTTTGTTTTTCTTTAAGTTTCTCTTTTCCTTTTGGCTTCCTTTGATCATAATTATAATTTTAATTCTTCTTGCCGGATTAGAAATTCAGGCTTGGAAAGCAACCTCACAAGGAATTCAATGATCACTCTATAAAAGATGGTAAGAGAGGTGGACTCTTCTTTCTAGGGTTTTCTTTATCAACACATATACACTCTTTTCGTTTTCATTATATTACCATCGTGCATCTACCTAAATGCTTATTTCTCTTCCTGTTGGCGCTAGATCTTCAAAGAAATGCGGCATCTTCCTCAGGCATGATGGCTCGTAGCATGAACGAGTACGTATTGATTGAATTGTTGTGATTTTAGTTTCAAGATTCACAACTTGATGAACTTTAACACATATATAGAGGTGTTTTAAAAGAAAATACTGCGAGAAAGAAATCACTTAATTTTGGCTGTTTTTTCTTTCTCTTTTTCATCATTCTTGTTTGGGGGTCTGGGGTTCGGATTTTCTTGTGGAATGTGTGTGTGAAACTGTATATAACAGTAACTCACACATGGTTGATGCGACTAGGATGCAAATGGAAGTGCAGAGAAGATTTCATGAGCAATTCGAGGTATGCACAGATTCTCCTCAACAGATCAATATATATTCTCTCTTGCTTGTTCACCAGATAGAAACCTTCTGGGGATCGGGCTTGCGAAAGAATATATCATTCTTTTGGACTACTTTCTGTGGATGAATCCTTCATGGACTTATCATGCCTGGCAGGTGCAACGACACCTTCAACTGAGGATTGAGGCTCAAGGCAAGTATATGCAGTCCATATTGGAAAAGGCTTGTCAAACCCTAGCTGGCGAAAACATGGCCGCAGGAGGCTATAAGGGTATGGGAAATCAAGGAGTTCCCGACATGGGAGCAATGAAAGATTTCGGTCCTCTCAACTTTCCACCATTTCAAGACCTCAATATTTATGGAGGTGACCAGCTTGATCTTCAACAGAACATGGACAGACCATCACTCGATGCTTTCATGCCGAATAATGATAACATTTGCCTTGGAAAGAAGAGGCCTAGCCCTTATAGTGGCAGCGGGAAGAGTCCTTTGATCTGGTCTGATGAGCTCCGACTGCAGGACTTGGGAACAGCCGCATCATGTCTAGGACCGCAAGATGATCCTTTCAAAAGTGAGCAGATTCAAATTGCGCCACCTTCAATTGATAGAAGTACTGACCTAGATCCTATATCAGACATTTACGAAGCAAAGCCGGTACTTTCCGGCGATGGCATAGGTGACAAGAAGTATGAAGCGTCGCCGAAGCTGGAAAGGCCATCACCAAGAAGAGCACCGCTTCAGGCAGACAGGATGAACCCTATGATAAATAGTGGTAGCGTGGCACAAGGGAGAAATTCACCATTTGGATGAATTGCTAACATTTTGCTTAGACCGCACGTAAGTGACTTAAGGATTAATTATGCTCCGCTCAGTCTCATATTTCATTAGGGTTTAGTAAATTATATTATATTAATTACAATAGGGTTTTGTCTCAGCTATATGATAATGCCATGCATATGCATGCATGCATGGCAATAATCTTTGTCAGTTAAAATTAATTGTTACGAATTTAGTACATCAATTTGTACTTTCCCATGATCCTTATATATGACTTATTGATGAATTTTACTAGATATTTATCATCTTTTTTGCTTCTCAATCTGGCTACACTTTTTTGTTTATGCCATTTATGCCTATTTGAACTTGACAAAACAGAAAATTCATTCTCTTTCCCTTCGTTTTTTTTTCAAAATCAACCCATAGTTTTACTTTTTCATATTCTAAATTTATTTCTTATGATTTATTTCTTTTTTTTTCTTAATTTATTATGAAAATCAAAATAGAGATAATGGAAATGGGATGAAGGAATCGATACATTCTATATTTCTTCACCAATTAAAAATTAAAGTCATTAATTGAATTTATCTTTTGCCTTCAGTTCTAGTAGCTAGAAGTATAAATATGAATTTTGCTAGTTGTCGATTCAATGGTAGTGTTGCATAAGAGGAGATGGTCTAATTTCATCAATATTGTATCTAGCATCTTTGCATGTTAGATCTCAAATCTTTCTAAATTGTTTATATATTTATTTGATATGAGGAAGGAAGAATTTGAATCCAACTTTTTTAATAAATACTCATATTTGCATGATCTCAAATCTTTATAATAATAGGGAATACCACCCAACTACTTGACTATCGGCCTTTGGATTGCTCCTCTTTGTTCTCAATGCTAATATGCTTTTTTGGTAGATAGCTCTTCACTATTTAGTGATCACAATAAAAAACAAACATGGATTGAACTTCATCCAAGTGCCAGAAAGCCACTATACATGTTTATGTTGAAGAAGTTTAGTTGGGAGAGGAAAATTTTTACTTAGTAAACTGGATATGAATGCAGTAATAATAAGCTTATCCTTGAAAGATATCATCCTTTTGGTAATAACTTTGCTTATTACCATCTACAGATATACATATTTAATGGAAGGAAAATTACAGTAAAATAAAAACAACATTATAAGTATGTAACAATCACTTCAATACCCTAATATTGGGATCCCCATCAAAACATAAGTCGGGTTTGAATTTCCCTTCCTCCAAAAGAAAATGTATGCCTTAATATTGGGTGCTTTTTATCTTTCGAAAGAAAGGAAGGGGTGTAAGCCAGAGACCCTACCATTTGAATATGGTATTTTTGGCTATTTTTGTCCCCGAGAGCATTTTTATATGGATAAAATTAATGCACGACTTGTTCTGATGGTCATGTTCTGTCAAGTCTGCCTGTTGTTACATTGAAGTAAACTTTTAAAAACCGTTGCTCCAAGTTAGTTATTTCCTATCATTGCAGACAAGATTATCGGGAAAACCAATTAGATTAAGCTACCCTAAATAAATAACTAAAACAGAAGCCATTAAAGCAAAAGATGAGGGGTTTGGGGGCACATGCTGCACCAGGCCAAAGCACATGAATCACTTAAGCTCATTTTTTGTACAGAGTGAAGGGAGATAGTTTTGTTAGAGCAAGAATTTCCAACGATACAAGCCGACAGAGCGTATCTATCTTTTAAAGCTCTTTTTCCTTCTTTATCACTCCTTATTCCTTGGGTGTCAAAGATTGAAGAGGACGCATCACCATATTGGTACACAGGAGATATAAATATAACTTATGTTACATGGACTTAAAAGATGTAATAAATCTTAATGCTACTACATCTTGTTGATTATAAGATGAAGAGCAGTTGCTATTTTATTAAATGATAAAAATGTGTAGTATATATAAATAAACTATTTAATGCTATATTTGAGATGCACATGTAGTTCTGCTGAGGGACAATCTAATGTTGGAATGATTAGGCTTTTTGTTATAAAGAGCTAGTAACTATCTATTTGGAAGGGTGATCCACGCAGACGCAGCGGAGAGAAGAGGGTTTTGGGTTGTGGAGATAGAAAAAGATGGTGGTGCCTCTGCCACCTACCTTTATTGGTTGCAGAGAAAATTTAGGGGACTGCAAGTTGTCAAGAAAGCTCCTCCGACCATCCAATACATGTAACTAGAACACACAGAGAGAGGAAAAAGGAAAAAGCAAATAAAGCCTAAAGGTGAGGAAGAATACAACGCACTCCCACGAGTGCACATATCGAGGAAGCTTCTATCTTTATGTGCACAAAATAAAGTTGAGGAAGGGGTACTGCGTTAAAAGTTGATGCATCTAATCTGCTTTGGTTTTCATATGTTAATTATTGGCCTTTGCAATTCCATTTTACGCATAATTATAATTACAATATATATCTGATGGGATTAAATAACTTACATGCACTGCAATTATCAAACAATAAAAGATGGTATAGTTCGAGGCACGTCCTTCCAAGCAATTGTAAATCATTTGCATCTCCATATTTATAAAGCACTTTGGATTCTCTGTTTGTTTACTCATTTGGCAGCTTTAGGTTGATTAATTGTGTATAGCAGGCATTTTCTCCAAAAGAAGTACAGTCCCAGTCCCATAAGCTTCTTTCGTCTCCCTTTCCCCCTCTTTCTTTAGGAATTTAGCTACTTAAAAAACAGTTGGATTTTGTTTATGTTTATAATAACAAGGCACTAAAACTGGTGTTCTTCTCCTACCATGCGTTTTTCTAGTTAGTACATGAGGAGGAAATGTTGCGGCCGAAATAAAGTTGTGTTTATTGGGCTTCTACTTGCTTTATTGGCAATTAAGGGCCCATTGCTTGACAGAGTATTCTTTTTACTTCTTCCTAATGTGTAGTCAAATAGTGTAATAAGTTTGGTGAACAAGGAGGGTGCGGCTAGGTGAAATGAAAAAAAAAAAAAATTGTTCCTCCATAGACTGAGCAAGGGAAAGATAAGTTTATTCAACAATTGGATTTCTTTGAGAGTATATTTGAGGATTCTTAAAGAGGTAATTTCATTGTATTGGTTGAGTTGTTGTGAATCTTAAGTTTTTGGTAAAAAGTTTAAGATATTGAATTTTGTAAGTTCGTTATTTTTGGTTCACCTCATTCATGGTTTTTCTCTTTACACTAGAGGGCTTTTCACGTGTTTTTTTTTTGTTTGAAAGGTAAGGGCTTTCACATATATTTGGTGTTATTTATTTTTCTGCTTATACTTCGATATTTGTCTATTTATTTTTCTGCAATTTGATGTTTTTGAACTTGAACTATGGACCATTTTGACTTAAAAACTCCATGTATTAATAGCCATATATGTTCATTTGAAAATATGGACTGTCGGAGGATAAAAAAGATTATTTTGAGCTTTAAAATTGCTTTTTGACCAAAACTATCAATAAATATTCATCATCTATCAATAGTTCAAACCCAAGACGAACATTTATCGATAGATGTTCATCAACTATCAATAGATGGCAACCCAAGCCTAAACTATTGATAGTTTAGGCGCAAACTTGAAAAAAAAAAAGTTATTAAGGACTTTTCACACTTATTTAAAAGCTCTAAAACCTTAGAGTTTTCCTTTTTTGGCAAAGAAATTCTTTTTCATTAAAAACCTAACCACACTCTTTTTTTTTTATACCTCAACTCTTATCCTTATCAACTCTATGTATTTCAAGCATTTTAAAGTCATCTTCAAGCTTAGATTTTGATTTTAAAGACTTTTAAAGGTAAGGCTTTTTAATTTAAAACCTCCACACTTATGGTTTTGATTTTTCTGAATTTATGGATTTTAAAAATTTGTTTTTCTTAATGAAAACTTAGGATTCGATTTGGATTTGAAACTCTTGAGCTCACCAAGGTAAAGTTACTCTTAAATTTTTCTTGTGGTAGTTTAAATCTCTTACTTAGAGTTAGATTAGCTGCTAATTTTGGTTGAAAGATTTGTTGAAGAATATTTCTAAAAGGATAAATGATTATTAGTCTAGGATTTTATTAGAGAACCAAGTGTTTGTGATGGAAACCTTGCGTTAGGTGTTATTGAAGGAAGTTGAATTTTTGGAAGATCGAGTGTTCAATGAAAGCTGTTAGAGGAGAAGCACGTGTCATCGAAGTGGGTAAATATGGTGTTTTTAATTATTTTAATATTATTAAGTATACCTATTCTACAACCTTGCCAAACAACAAGCCTAGCCCATGTAATGTAATTTGATTTGAATTATTGGATTTGCTAATGTATATCTAAGTTTAGATGTAGATTTACTAGATTAGATTTGAATTTGGATTTAATTTGAATATTGTTTTTTCAAATTAAAATGCTTACCTTATCTTATTTTATCTTTATTTTGTAACCTAATCTTAACTAATCAAGGGGGTCGTCAACCTATAAATATTCCTTTTTTCCCCATTTGTAATACACATTAAAAAACCAACAAAGCATTCTAGTTTTCTAAATTACTTTCTCTTTTTTTCCTTTCTTTAGCTTTCCCTTTTGTTAGTTTTGAGGCTTACTTAAGCTTTATTTTTAGAGTTTAAGGCCACACAAGGTTAGGCTTAAGTTCTGACAAGTGACAATTGGTATCAAAGTAAGGTTCGAGGAAAAAGGAGATAGCATTGATAGAGAACCAGTCTACACCAGTCTAAGAAGTTAGAGAGACCAAAGGTGTAGCCAAATGAGGTAAGTCAAGAGACATATGTCCACTCTTGAAGGCCGAGTAGCCAAAATGGAGATGACCATGGATGAGTTAGGGTCTAAAGATGATGAGCTTCGTGGGGAGTTACATGAGATAGTGGAGATGCTAAACCATTAAGCTGCAGCATTAAAGGAGCCAGTCGAGTTGTTACAATAAGAGATATGAGGACTTATAGACAAGCTTGCCCCACTAAAGACAACCACAGGAGGTGGTGACCCAATCATTCAATCGGGGACTCGTTTAAAAGTGCTTAAACCCAAGGAATTTCGAGGTGAGAGAGAAGCCAAAGAGATGGATATATTCTTGTGGACCTTAGAGCAATACTTTAGGGCCATGAGTATCACAAAAGATGCTCTATAGATTAATTCTGCTACCATGTATTTGTGGACATCGCTTTGCTATGGTGGAGACATAGGTGCAATGAGAAGCTTAAGGGAGTAACCATAAGCACTTGGGTAGAGGTCCAAAAGGAGTTTTGAAAGTAATTTACCTTGAGTATGCAGATGATAAGGCACGTGGCAAACTGATGAAGCTT